ATATTTCAGATACTTGTTCAGAACAACAAAACATATACTTCAAAAAAAATCAATAGCTGGTACACCGGTCACCCACTACACACCTTCATCATTCAAGCGGGGAAAAGAAGGCAAAGGGTGTACAACGGCGGTTCCTGATTTGGCTATATTCCGGTAATGACTGGCTTGGAATATGTTCGCTTTTATAGAATTTTATTCCATTAATTTTGATAATCTAATCTAAGTTATCGTTATGAGAAGATATGACTTTTATGCAGGCGTTCTTCAAGGGCAATGAACTTTTCAAATAGTTTGCTCATTTAAAATAAAGTGCCTGTGTTTCTTTCTATAAAGTCTTTCAGTAAAACTATTGAAAAAGGTGTTTTACATTGCATTCTATATATTGATATGATTTTTCTTCTTATTTTATTCGATTTAATGATGCACACATCAATATTCATTAAAATATATATTGATGATTTCTTAAAACAGGACGGATTAATTGATTGATTGATTGATTGATTGATTGATTGACTGACTGACTGACTGACTGACTGACTGACTGACTGACTGAATGAATGAATGAACGAATGACTTAATTAATTAACTAATACATTAATGACTGAATTAATTAATGATTGGTTGATTGTGTGACTGACTGATTGTTTGATTGATTGATTTATTTATCTATTGATTGATTGATTGATTGATTGATTATTGCAGCTAAAATTTTTGAATCTGACAATGCCATATGGCTTTCACCAACTGACGAGTTTATGGTATACATGGAGTTTAATGATAAGAAAGTCGAGGAGATGACGTTTACTACATATGAAGATCCTTTTAATATTTACCCGGACTCAGTGAGACAAAGATACCCAAAGGTTGGTATTGCTTGTATATGTATATGAAATATAATAACTTTAATCAATTGAAATTGTATTCAATTTTATTCATGGTTACACTTTTTAATACAACTAGAAAATAATAAAATTTTATGAATTATACTTTTTTTTCCATTTTATTAATGTTAAGTATCGTGCTTTCAGATTTATACAAATGCAGTCAAATTTTATCAAATTGTGTTTATATTTTTTATTCTGTCAATGAAATTGCAGTCCGTTAAATAAATGAAGTTTTTTTTAAACATGACTTGGATTTCATAACAAACCCTTCATTTTGATTCATCGACAGCCAGCCCGGTCCAATGATAGTTTACGAGCCGACCCGACATGCTTTTATGTCAGTTTCATGCAATTAGTGGAGAAAATGCACTTTTTTATATAAAACATTTAATTGCCGTCGCTGGGATGTTAATGGTCACCACACATAGACGATCGATGCGTTGACAAATTACAACCCACAACCCATTTGAGTACCCTACCTCTTCCAAACAATGTCAACTGTAGTATTTATCATGTAAAATGTGTATAATTATATGATTTTGATGTCATATTCCTTCTTTTAATCAAAATAGATTTTAACAATATGCATATCTATATAAATTTATATTTTATGATCTGTTAAAATAATATATATTTTATTGACCTATTGCATACAATATTAAAACATTTATATTGGATCAGTAAAACATGTCTATATTTTTTATTCATCAATGTTAAATCATTCATCAAAATCATAACTAACGTATGATTCAGGTAATGAAATGAATTCATTTTTTACTTTAATTGCAGTTTGGTACAACGAACCCTACAGTACGTTTAAAGTTGTACAACTTCCGGTCCAATATGACTGTGACAATATCTCCTCCACAAACCTTTGCACAAAGGTAAGCACACTTTGTTTTGTTAGAATACAGTGTAACCTCGGCATAGTGAACCTTTTGAGGAAAGTAACTTTTTAACCAATAGCAGTATCAAAACCTCCTTGAATAAAACAACACAAGAATGACGTTTATACTATATATCAGCAGAAAATAAAACAGAAACGGGGATATTGAAACTGGTGCAGATAGATTCGATTTTATTGAGTCTATTGGCAACAATAGACATCTTACTTTACACATGTTTTACTGTACCAAGAGAAGAGTATAAATCTATATCTTATGAAATATTTTTATAAAATTCATCAACAGTAAAATTATATTAGTTCCATTATTATATGGTTGATTACCGAAACAGTTGTAACATAGAATGTGTTTCTGTTATTTAACACACATTAATATTGTACGTAAAGTGAAACAAAATATTATTTGCTATTTAAAGTAGGGTTTTATCCGTTTAGCAACGATTTTGCGTATGCGTCATTCACTTTTAGAACAATTATCTACCATGTTTATTCTTTTTAAAAATCAAACAAAATTTCTAGCACAAGATATATAGCTTTGTAGGAGCACATTTGTCTCGGAGCACATTTGTCTCACGAAGTGTGACCGATGTGTTCGTAAACATTCATATTTGCGACAAATTGGAAATAAGACAGATGTGTTCGACACACAATAGAAAGGACTGTAGGAGCACATTTGTCTCGGAGCACATTTGTCTTACGTAAGACCGATGCGGTCGCATTTGTCCCACATGAGACAAATGGGACCTCAAATGTCTGCCCAAAAAAACTCATTTGTGTGACAAATGTGCTCCGATCAAGTTTTTTAAGGGACAAGAAAGCACATTTGTCTCATGTGTTTTTAAGGGACAAGAAAGCACATTTGTCTCATGTCATTTTTTATGAATTTTTTGTCACATATTTCCCAACGGCAGAAATTCTTTTTTAGAATCGAGGCTCGCCGTACCTCAAATGTAATCAGCAATAGGTTTGCTTATGCTTTTTTTTATAAAAACCTACAGTGAACTATTAATTATAATATTTCTAATTCAAGAAATTTATTGACTTAACCTGATTAAGGCGTACACTTAAACATACTAAATCACGTTCACGATGGTACAATGGTGACAGCGCGATGGCACGATGGTACCTTGATGAAAACGCGATGGGGCGATGGTGAAAACGCAATGGTATGAACGTGAAACAACGATTGTACGATGGTGAAACAACGATTGTACGATGGTGAAACAACGAAGGCTCGATGATGAAAACGTGATGGTACTATGATGAAAGACGATGTTACGATGGTGAAAATACGATGGTACGATATGATAAAACTGCGATGGCATGATGATGAAAACGCAATATTATTTTCTCTGTCGTGTCATCGCATCATCGTGATTTCACCATTGTGTTTTAATCATCGTACCATCGTACCATCTCAATTTCACATTTGTACCATTGTGCATAGTTGTTTCAGGGAGACAAAAATGTTACTTATGTCCAAACGGAACACCGTAATCGGTTGATATTGAATGATACAATATCGTGACTCGTTTCGCATTTCGCCGAAATCTCGCGTCTCGCTTCGCATCCAGTTCGTCGTCGCGAGACAAGAAATTGATTCAATGTCATATACCGCTAAGTAGTTTTCCCTTTATAGGCTACATAAAATCACTTAAAGGCCCATTTTGGCATACTTTTATAGCTAAAAGTTACTCATTGGCTAATCACCTGAAGCATTTTTCATCTGCTGCTTTTTTGCAGTTTGTACAGTTGAAGTGATTTACAATTTTGTATTGACAATTTACATTTTGCTACTTTTATGACACATTTTTTCACATTTATCGCGAATTTCTTTGGGTTACAAGCATCTAACTTCCTCAGAAATCAATATTTGAATATTAATAAATTCATACTTGCCCTATCTAAAGAAGTACAAATTTATTCATTTCTGAAATCTCTTGGTTCGGGATATTTCGACATTGCGAGATCTGCTGTTACAATATCATGCCTCGCTTCGTGTCTCATCGGAATGTCGTGTCTCGCCCGATTCTGAGTGACCCGATATTCCATAATTATGGCATTACCCGGATTATTTCGGGAACTTATGCATGTTGTAAGTGCCTTTTCAATGGCGAACCTGAAAGCCGCAATTCTTCGAAAATGACGATTTTTATACATATATTTCTAATGAAAACGAAATACCTGTGTTATGGTCTTCTTATTTTCTCCATAGATCATTTAAGGGCCTCCGCGGCGGAGTGTTTACAAAAAAAATACTTGCCCCTAAGCGCTGTAGTTTCGACACATACACTGGGCGTCGAACTATTCATGCGAGGATCCCGGTCAGGGTCCAAATGCGCATTACATATGCGCGTGCGCACGTAATAGCTATCGCGTGCGCACGTAACAGTATCGCGTGGCCACGGAAAAGCTATCGTGTGAGCACGTAATAAATAAGAAAATTCTATGTCCCCATTATGCCACCGTAGATACTACCTTGTTTTGCTAAGAATATTTCTAGTGTCATAAATCATCTATAAAACTTTAAGCATTGAACTAAACATATCACAAGTGATAACGATAAGAATAGACTTGCTGCATATATGTTTAGGTTCCGGATGCTGCACCTGTAGAAATTTTCATTGTGACATGCAGAACAGGGATATTCTTAAATTTAATATATGACTCCTATGTAGAGGCAGGAAGTTTTTGACTGACCGGAAGTGACCTAGAAACGGTTTTATAAATACAGAAAACACAGATCAATGGCTGGTAGCCGGTATACAGATGGACATAATTATTACCTTTTAAGAATTTTATGGAAAAAATGTGAGACAAATGTGCTTCGAGTGTCCTTTCTATAGTGTGTCGAACACATCTGTCTCATTTCCAATTTGTCGCATATATGAATGTTTACGAACACATCGGTCACACTTCGTGAGACAAATGTGCTCCGAGACAAATGTGCTCCTACAAAGCACATTTGTCTCACATTTTTTTCCATAAAATTCATAAGAGGTAATAATTATGTCCATCTGTATACCGGCTACCAGCTTCTTTATTTATAATACCATTCAAGGTCACTTCCGGTCAGTCAAAAACTCCCTGCCTCTACATAGGAGTCATATTTTAAATTTAAGAATATCCCTGTTCTGCATGTCACAATGAAAAATTCTACAAGTGCAGTATCCAGAACCTAAACACATATGCAGCAAGTCTATTCTTATCGTTATCAATTGTGATACGTTTATTTTCAATGCTTTTATAAATGATTTATGGCACTAGAAATATTCTTAGCAAAAACAAGCTAGTATCTACGGTGGCATAAAGGGGACATAGAATTTTCTTATTTATTTCGTGCGCACACGATAGCTTTTCCGTGGCCACGCGATACTATTACGTGCGCACGAGATAGCTATTACGTGCGCACGCGCATATGTATTGCGCATTTAGACCCTGACCGGGATACTAGTACTCGCATGAATAGTTCGGGGCAAGTGGTGTTTCGAAATCACTCGGCCACGGAGGCCCTTAAATGATCCATGGAGACAATAATAAGACCATTACACACGTATTTCGTTTTCATCAGAAATATATGTATTAACAAGAGTTGCGGCTTTCAGATTAGCCACTAAAAGGCACTTACAACATGCATGAGCTCCTAAAATAATCCGGGTAATGCCATGATTATGAAATATCGGGCCACTCAGAATAGGGCAAGACGCGACATTCCGAAGAGACACGAAGCGGGGCACAATATTGTAACAGGAGATCTCGCAATGTCGAAGTAACCCGTGCCAAGAGATTTCAGAAATAAATAAATTTTTACTTCTTGAGATAGGACAAGTATGACTTTGTTTATATTCAAATAATGATTTCTGAGGAAGTTAGATGCTTCTAACCCAAAGAAATTCGCGATAAATGTGAAAAAATGCGTCATAAAAGTAGCAAAATGTAAACAATGTAGTACTTTGACTTCAATACAAAATTCTAAATCACATCAACTGTGCAAACTGCAACAAAGCAGCAGATGAAAAATGCTTCAGGTAATTAGCCAATGAGTAACTTTTTACAGCTAACAAGTATACCAAAAATAAAAGGCTTTTGAGGAATACAAATCAAAGCATTTCTCAGGCATAATGGGCCTTAAAATGATTTTATGTAGACTATAAAGGAAATACTACTAAGCGGTATATGACCTGAAATCAATTTCTTGTCTCGCGTCGACGAACGTGACGCAAAGCGAGACGCGAGATTTCGGTGAGATGCGAAACGAGTCACGATATTGTATCATTCAATATCAACCAATTATGGTGTTTCGTTTGGACATAAGTTACATTTTTGTCTCCCTGAACAGCTATGCACAATGGTACAAAGGTGAAATTGAGATGGTACGATGATTAAAACACGATGACACGATGGTGAAATCACGAATATCGCGTTTTCATCATCATGCCATCGCAGTTTCATCATATCGTATAATCGTATTTTCACCATCGTAACATCATCTTTCATCATAGTACCATCACGTTTTCATCATCGAACCTTCGTTGTTTCACCATCGTACACTCGTTGTTTCACCATCGTACAATCGTTGTTTCACGTTCGTACCATTGTGTTTTCACCATTGCACCATCGCGTTTTCATCAACGTTCATCAACGTACCATCGTGCCATCGCGCTGTCACCGTTGTACCATCGTGAACGGGATTTAGTATGTTTCAGTGTACGCCTTCAGGTTAAGTCAATCAATTTCTTGCATAAGAGATATTATAATTATTAGTTCACTGTAGGTTTTCATAAAGAAACCATAAGCAAACCTATTGATGATTACACTTGAAGTAAAACGGCGGATCTCGATTTTAAAAAAGAATTTCTGCTGTGGGGAAATATGTGACAAATAAATTCATAAAAAATGGCATGAGACAAATGTGCTTTCTTGTCCCTTAAAACACATGAGATAAATGTGCTTTCTTGTCCCTTAAAAAACTTGATCGGAGCACATTTGTCACACAAATGAGTTTTTTGGGGTAGACATTTGAGGTCCCATTTGCCTCATGTGGGACAAATGCGACCGCATCGGTCTTACGTAAGACAAATGTGCTCCGAGACAAATGTGCTCCTACATAGCTTTATACACTTCAAATGATTCCAAAATAGTAGTACACTTATTTATTTCCTTATTTTCATTGATAATGTTTTTTTTAATTCTATAATAATAATAATAATAATAATAATAATAATGGTAATAATAATAATAATAATAATAACGTGGACGTTCAATTATATCTTAATTCATAATATCTGTCCTGATATAATTTATATCTTTCTTCTTCTTTTATATATTCAATGAAAGCTTTTATGTTAATTGTCAAAGTGAATCGAACTTGTCTTTTAATTCTGCAACATATTTCCAATTATGTCGTTTCTAATTAGGATTCGCATTGATGTTGTTATTTCTAAGCATCTGCGCAATTTAATAGAGAATATTCATACAATTAAATTCCCATTCGCTTTCTTTGCACGTGATATTGTTATATGGATTTTGACTTGAAAATCTGTTTCCTTTAACATTATATTGCATAGATCATATTCTTATGTGAACATTTTCATTTCACATTTTATTTCAGGGATCATTACATTATTTCTGTCACGTGGAGGAGTTCGGATAGTTTTGCTACTGTGTGGCTGAATAGAGAACAAAATACGTCCATTATTACTATTTGTAATGCATCGACTTCTTTATGCTACGAGGTAGAATACAATCATATATATTCAAAATATTTTACAAAGAGTAATCTCTTATTGTTTATTATATGATTAAAAGATGTTTCAAGTATTGATTTAATTTCATTTGCAGTAAAGATACGTAGAATAAAATCGAATGTATCAAACAAATGTTACTAAAATTAATCTCATAAACATTTTATAATATGACAAATATTTTACGAGTATTAATGATGCCACTTGTTAAGTTCAACTGCAGTCAGATAAAAAATCAGCTATGATTATTTTTTAGTTTCATTTAAAATCCGATATCTAAGGTAAACCATGAACATTTAGATATGCGATTCAAATTTATACATCTTCTGATAGATTTTGTTGTAAATTTTTTTCTAAAAAAAGTTATTTTCTTTCTTTTTCCAGAATCTTCACATTGAAGAAAGCAGTGGCTGGGTCGATGCAGTTAGTAGTCATTTTCAATATTTTAATTTGAAATTTAGTGTATAAATGACTGAGTGAAACTGTTTGGTTGAACAATTAGGACCTTCATGTTGTCAAAAATACAAATATCAAACGTTAGTATTACCCTATGGACTTTGTGACCGTATGTCATCTTTTCAAGCAAAAACGTATTATAATACAATGTACACCATAAAATACTATAAGGTTACCCATATTATATTTGCTGTGTATTTAATTCAGTTATCAAATGCCGTGTTAAATCTAACCTAACTTAATAGTATCAGTCTCGGGCACATGTTCTACGAATTCGCGATCACTTCCTACGTCATTCAATATAAGATAGCATTTTGCATCTCTTATTGTAAATGTTCGATCCTAATTTATTCTTAAGGTTTGTCATAATCATGAGTATGACCAACTTATTTTTGGCTCATTTGTATATTTATTTTATGTAGATTGATACACTGGTATTTACCCCATCAGGGAGTCATTATTTCATTAGTATTCCAAGACGAGACGCTACTGGTAAACTTGTGAGACAAGTGAAGATGGTAGACGCTTCAGTGAATATAAATGTAAGTACATCCTTTACTAAATCAATTTAACGAGTTGAATAATGTTTACTTCTTTAAAGAGTTCATTACATAAAATAACAAGATTATGCTAAATGATATCCTTCTTTTCACAATTCGAAATAAATATTACACTTATAGAAACATGTTTTTTCATTGTTTCATTGATACACGTGGAAACAGCGTTGCATTACAATATGTTTGTATGATGCACATAACCTTATATATGTGTGTCATTGCAATATGGTTTATATGGATTCACAGAAACTGCAATGGTATAAAAACAAATAATTCACGATACTGATCATGATGAAAATGCGTATCTGTAATTCTTCTTATTATTCTTACTAGAATGGGGGCGTCCGTGGCCGAGTGGTTAAGGTCGTTGACTTCAAACCACTTGTCCCTCACCACTGTGGGTTCGAATCCCGACATGGACTTTGGATTCTTTCATGTGAGGAAGCTATCCAGCTAGCTTACAGAACGTCGGTGGTTCTACTCAGGTGCCCGTTCGTGCCGGAAATAATGTACGGAAGGGCACCTGAAGTCTGCCTCCACCAGTAAAGCTGGAACGTCGCCTAATGACCTATACGGTTGTTGGTGTGACGACCCCCCCCCCCCCCCCCCCCCCCATCCCCCCCCCAAAAAAAAAACAAAAAAACTTACTAGAAACCATTATTGTAGTAAGAATTACCTATCTTTTGTTGGTTGTTTTTTCTACCTCAGAGATATGCGTGTCATTAAATCTCGTGTTACTTTCACTAAATGTTCTTGAAATACACCAATTTACACCATTTGTACAGATTACGTTAAATAAATTCATATAAAACGTAATTATATTATATGTATATTTAGATTTACTTCGTTAAGAGCATTGTTGGAGCACATGTGTTGCTGGTTAGACATTTATATTCCTATTTATGTCATATGATAGACAAATTACGGCCGCATCGGTCTTATATTAGACAGACATGGTCGTACACAGCAAACATTGACTTGATTATGATCATATTGTTTCATTTATTCAAATTAAGGCTTTCAAAGTTCAAAATTACTTTATGTAACTTTAATGTATATCGATGACAAAATCGTTGAAATATTCCTTCCCGTTATAGGTAACGAAAATCCGAGGCCGAACAATTTTTCTTTCAACGGGTGATATTGAAGTTGAGAAGATTGTCGGATATTTTAATTATTCCGTGTAAGTATCAGAAAGATAATAATCAGCAATTATTTTAAGTTTTTTTTTAGTTTTTCTCGATAGTAAAGTAAACATGTATGTAATGCATGCATTTCGCGCACATTTCAAAAGTTTTTTGCAGATATGATGTCTCAGATCTATCTCAAAAATTGACTATGCTCATATTTTTGTAAAATATTTTCATTGCAGAAATTTATTGAAATCAATGTCTTTCTCACTGGATATGTCTAAATGCTCAGACTGTGTTTCGGAAGCTGCATTGCCTTTTACTGGCCAAGTTTATTTGGCGTTTTCTTAAAAAACAACAACATATAAACAACTAAAGTAGAACAATCAAAGCACAGAAGGCGCTGAATTTGTTTGGGTCTAAGAATGTCAGAAAGGGGAAGGTTGTGAGATTATAAAACAATTTGTTGTATAGTGCCACCAATGCTTTTCAGCGTTTTAATTGTAGTAGATTGGCTATAAGACTAATTGCAACACTGATATTCGATCCAATGTTTATTAGACTTGAAAAAAAATAAGTTGCCGTAATTGGGGTTTGAACTCCAGACCTCTCGCTTCCTAAACGAGCGTGCAAACTCCTCGGCCACGGTGAATTTATATGTTAACGGCCTGAAGAAAACCATATTATTCTATTTAGGGTTTGTAACGACGCTAACTGTTGTTTAACACTTGTGTAAATAATCATGGCGTTTACTATCAGCATGTATATTAATAAAGAATAAAACAATATTAGAAATCTTCGACCATTCGGAAATTATTTTGCTTGAAAATTAATCCGCCTGTCATGTGACCATATTTACGCAGTGATTTCCCCTAATTTTTTCGGCCTAGGTGTTACATATAAAGGGAAGTAACCGCTTCAAAAAAGCGGCATTCTTTCGGCACTTGCAATTAACAGCATTATAGTCTGAAATTTCGCTACCATTATTTGTTTGGTCTGACGACCCAAACAAATAAAAACGGCAAGTTGTTTAATGACACATATAGTATGTTGGTACTGTATTTCTATGGTTTGTAGAGTGTACATTGCAACATATCTATAATCATTTATGTGGTGGTCTTAAGAGATCTTTAATTTACATTGAATTAGGGACTACATTACAAATCTTACTTATTTCAAATACCAGATTAGAACTTATATCTTTATCTAAACATTTCTTGTCTTCTATAATGACCAAATGGAATAGGATAGGCCTTGGCATAATAATCTTTTAAGTTTGTAGCTGGGTGTTTTATATTAAAAGATATAATGTATTGCCATAGGATATAATCAAAATAATGCGAATAGCCGCAGTATGAAAATAAACTATACAGATTTTTATTTTGTCATCATCGCCAAACAAGTTTACGTGAAGAAGAATGGGAGATTCCATGACCCCGTTTAATAACAGATTGATTGTTTTATAGTGAAAATTGTTTAGTTCCGCCCATTGTTTTATCGTTAAGGGCACACGCATTATTTTATTTTGGGACCATTCACCGCTTTTCATGGTAAGGCAAGAAAGTGTCACATTGAAGTTCCATGATAACCGCCGTATGAACTCATCTGCGGATGTTTCTTAATTCAAAATTTCACCATTACCATCTGCTTAAGCCGGTGCTAAAGAGGGGGGGGGGGGGTGGAGGTAACTTGCACTTTCCATTACCCTTAATGAACAGGCCCAATTAAACCGAGCCTGCAACATTTTCAATTTTGTCTTGTTGGGCTTTCTTTGGGATTCTTTATTTTTCTCTATTTTAAATACGACATTATTTTATACAACATTTTCAATTTTGCAGTTTTGGGCTTTCTTTAGGGATTCTATTTTTCTCTATTTTATTATCTTATTCGCGTTTTCAGGTATGTGATAGGGATTCCTCAAGACGATCCAAAACAACGACACTTATATAGCGCGATAACTGATAAAGATTCGCCAAATTTTCATAAATTAAACTGTGTAACATGTGATATTGACGAAAATTGTAAATATATGGATGCGAAGTTTGGACCGACAGGGCAGTACTACATTTTGGAATGCCTTGGACCCGGAGTGCCTTATTATTCATTTTATGCAACACCAGATTTACATGGTAAACTCTTTTGTATTCAAACAATCATTTAAAAACTAAGATTTCAGCATTTTCAAGAATACTCATTTAACTGTGGTCTAAGTCTTGAACCATTATTTTGGCTTTTGGTCTCGGGCGAGATCTACTGTTTCGCTTTATCTTTCTTTAATACTTCTGAGGACGGATTCAATTGATATTTAGAATTTATAATTATAAACAATAAATGTACGGTAACAATCGTATTTTACCTTTAGAATTGGGCTTGCAAAACTGTAAAACTTTATTTTTTATCAATTCCAAGTTTGCTCTAATATATATTGTGCAACCAGTATTGCAATAACACGAGTTTGTTTTTTATAAACTGTTTGTATCGACGCTGTGATAAAGTTATGTCATAGTGTTATTTTCTTTATTTTGTAGTAACATCATTAGAAAATAACAGTGACCTTGACAAAAGGCTTTCAGAGAAATTATTACCAGACATTGAATTCCTAAACGTAACATTACCAGATGGAAATTGTAAGTTATCGCTTTTCTCTCAGTCTTAACTGCTTATTGTTAACCTCAAATGGCTGTCTTGCTGTCATTAAATTCCAAATATTCCAATGAATGAGGATAAATAAGGGAATATCTATCTTTAATTGAACAATCGGGATTATCAGTGCTTATCATTTTTGTGCCATAATGTCGTTTAAAGAATCTCTCAGAAGAATTCCTGATAAATATCTCATTTTCTGGTAGGTAATTCTTGAAGAATCAAAACAGTTTTGTGAGTTTGTTATAGCTAATTCAGTTTTATGCTTTACTATTTGAAAGTGCAAGAAATCATTTTCGTAGTTTCTTGTTTCTATTTCCTATGTGTATAGTCTTTGGGATCATTTATCTGACTTACCATATTATAATCTTTATCTTTATCTACAATATATGTCGTAACTATGTCTTAACCGAAATTGAATGTTCCAAATTATATCATTTTTGACATCATTTAAACGTAGAAGACAATTAAAGTCAAAAGTCACTATAAGTTGTTCTATTTCAGTTGTACTCAGCAAATTGATTCTACCGCCAGTTTTGGATCTCGAGGAACTCATCCAATACAATGTCATAATTGTACCGTTAGTATTTGAGCCGCGTCACGACAAAACCAACGTAATGCGTTTGCGACCAGCATGGATCCAGACCAGTCTGCGCATCCGCGCAGTCTGATCAGGATCCATGCTGTTTGCTATCAGTTTCTCTACTTGTAATAGGGTAGGTAACGAACAGCATGGATCCTGATCAGACTGCGTGGATGCGCAGGCTGGTCTGGATCTATGCTGGTCGCAAACGCATTACGTTGGTTTTTTTCATGGCGCGGCTCATTTCATTTTTAAAAATGTTTATAGCAAACCTTTACATCATAATAAAGTAAATAAAGTAAAAATCATTTTCATTCTGTTTCCTTTTAATCAAAGGAAATATATGTTATATGATACTCTTTTATCTCCATTTGTAATTCTTTAGTGCTTTTCAAAACCGCCTCCGTGGTCGAAGGGTTAGAGTCGATGACTTCGTGTAACTCTTAAGGAACGAGGGTTAGGAAACTACCCGCCTACATGACTGAAATACTGTTGGGAAAAGGCGTAAAATGAAACAAACAAAACAAAACAATTATTTGAAACATTCTAATAGTCATTTCAAAAAAAGATTATATCTTTAATGAACTCGCATTTTTGGCGTGACAGGAAAAGAACTTTTTTGAAGTACAGGGTAGTAACGCAGGAGTGTGCAAATAACGAACAAATTGTGCCAAGGAAACGCAGAATTTTGCAATTCAGTGAACAGAAATAAATTAATGTTTCTTATTTTACATCAAATTGAAAGAAATAAATAAGCTTATAAGGTTGATGAGACATTTTAAATCTTACAAAACATGTTTCCATAAAAGTGTTTATTTTCCAAGATCATTTGTGACAAGTGTATTGATGATAGTATATGTGTTTCGTAGACATCATTAAATACGATAACCTAACTATGTATTATACATTCGGTGTACCTGACACATTTGCTAAACTACTCGTGTCATATTACACTAAATTCCTGGAAAAAATGAGCAGCTGGTTAAAGTATGTCATACCAGCCTTTTATTTTAATTTGATTAACGATAAAAATAGTTCGGTCCGTTTACTGGCCGTTTACTCGTCTTGGCCATAGATTTGCAAACGTCAAATTCTGCGTTTCTTTTATGTTTATAGCACATTTCTGCGTTATTGGATATACTAGATATACTGGATGTTGACTCGGATAAGATTATACAGTAATCGTAAAAATAAACTATGGAATTTGCAAGTGTTTTTATAAGCATTATTTCTTTTTTATAATGCACAGAAATGAGGATATCGGCGATCAAACAGTAACCTACAAGTTTCACCTGGGATGGGAGCATTTCTTGTCCAGTTTTCACAGTATTATTATTGCCAAAATAGACACAAGTGGGTCCAGAGGTAGGGGAGACAATTGGAGAAAAGCTGTCCATAGACAAATAGGCGCTAGAGAGGTTGACGAAATACTTGCTGTTGTTAGGTTAGTGGAAGATTCAGTTTTCTTTAAATTGACACGAAGGAATTGATTAGATAATACTGTATTGATTGATAGTTTTACATTTGTACGTTATAAAATGTAAGTTGCCAAATGTAACATCGCAATAAAAAAAACTTTCTTAATTTTAAAAGGTTGTAAAGGTTTTAAGCAAATTTAGCATAAATGTGTATGTTTTGTTTTACGAAGATGCAGAATATATGAAAGACATGAATTAAATGTTCCTTATATAAAACATACAACGTTTAGTTTTATTTCGCACATGCGTTCTCCGCTTTTTTCGAAAAATAACTTTTTTTTGCAAGCTTGATCTAAATTTCTTGTAATGATATCAAGATACAACAAATGTTCAATTGATTATAGACAGAGCCAAACCTTACTTCTTATCATTCAATGAAGCGTGTTAATATGCATTTTATCTATAATAATAAAATAAGAGAAAAAAAGGAATCCCTAAAGAACGGCCAAAACGGTACAATTGAAAATGTTGCAGGCTCTGTTTTCATGGACGGTATTGTCAAGTGCAAGCTACCGTCCACGCCCCTAGCACCGGCTAAAGCAGAATTCAACATTTATAATGCCCGTTTATAATAAGTAAATAGATAAAGTTAATAAGGACGACTTTTCACATATCTTTCAGGTCTTTGAAGACTATCACATATGTAAATGAAGTTATGGGAATTGTCGGAAAGGTTGTACATTATTCTTACATTTTTATAGTTATTTAATAGTTATACCGTGCATAAAGAATATAATTTATTTATTGCCTTTTCCGTCTAGCCGATTCATTATACCTTACATCATGTTATCTTATCTACAACAATATATTAACAAACATTAGGATGCATAGATCCCTGACCTGTCCTATTCTTATTATCAGATTAGTGGCTACACTAAGAATTTCGCCACAAGCTATTTGTTAACAAAAGAGCACATGTCAATGTTTGTTGTAAAACCTATTGTTATTCACATAAAATAATGTTTTTGACTCCTCATAGCAATTCAAGGGACCTACCTTCAATAACACATTGTTTAAGGCAATACTTCATACATATATATACTTTCATAGTTTTGTGTCAATATTCAAGGCATTATATACATTTATTCATTTTTATGGTTTTTGTTTCGTCATTCAGGGTTACGGTGGCCATCTAGCTTTATCAACATTGAGTTCTGACTTCAATAATGTGTTGTCATGTGGTGTTGCTGTGACACCAGTGATAGATTATACATACATGGGTAAGTTGTTTAACTACGTCATCAATTTTACTAAACATTACTTTATTACTTTTGCATATATATTCACTTATTGTGTTAAAATTAACATAATATAATTTGATTTTAAATTTGTCTCGACCTTTTTCTCTGGGAATGCAGCTTTAAGGTCGATGAGTTCTAAAACATAAACCTCTAACCTGTTCTATTAATTTGATGACCTTAAGCGACTAAGACAATTTCTAAACAAGTGATATTAGAATTCAACCTGTGGGTTACGGTTATAAATAACCATATTTTAATTACATTTTTTCAGACAGTTTTATCACAGAACGGTATTATGACAAAGGAGGTTACCAAATAGCATCTAACAACGTAAGATACCGATTAAAACAAGTTTTTAAACGGCATTCAATAATGAAATATTAAAAGACTTTTATCAGATTGATATTTTGATTAAAACGTGTCAAATTGTATTATATAGTTTGTAGCTGTACCGAAACGTCATAATATTTTTTTATCAAAACGACCAACAAGGTCACGTCTCTCAGAAAATTATTTGCATATATTTAAATTAAAGAAAAATGAATTTCATTCAAGTAAACAGTAAGAAATATAGCTTAGCAGAATTGTTTGCACTCTTCAGAAATATCCAAGCATTCGGTAAGTAACCGACTGTTGGTTTATCACAAACAAATCAACTGTAACACATGCAACTGATACCTCACACAAAACTAGCGGATTAATTGAAGATCGAATTTATGCTACTTAAAAAGTTATATTGGTATTTTACTACATGTCGGGTGAATAAATTTTATAAAGAATACTGTTTTTCTTTCTTTGATCATCAGGAACTCAAGCTGCTGAAAAACATCAAAAACATTCACAGACATGACGTAATGCTTATGCATGGACTTTTAAACGGTATGTTATAACCCATATTGCATGTAACTACTAGAATAAGATGACACGGATGTCCTACTTGGTTCACGACCATGTTTCATCATATGACACCAGTTCTGGTTAGTTCAAAGAAGCGGACTCAAAAGCAATTAATATAGGTTGCAAGAACTTGTTCCGCAATCAAGCTTAAATATGTTTCAACTAAACTAATGAAATAACCATTTTAAACTAATAATGTATATTAAATAATATTAAATAAAATAATATTTCAACATTCGGGGATAACTCTGAATATTCAATATTAAGTAGGAATAAATGATAATGTTATGTTTTTTATTAGGTAAATAGTCGCTAGCTCGCAATTTTGTTTTAACTTTAAAATAGAGTAAAATAAGCAGAACACACTCATTTATTGTGACTTCAAATTGTTTAAGTCCTTGAAATCTAACCAGGTGTCTGACTCATATGAAACTCTTTTGAAAAATACATTGCTTTATATTGAAATAGTGAGAATCATGGTCATCACCTTCATGATTTTGTTTGTTTTCTTCTTCTAGTTGACATTATTACATACATCTCATTTTCAGATGAAATTCATTTTCAAAATACAGCGCAATATGTGAAAGCTTTAGTTAGTGAAAATATCCGTCATGAGATACAAGTAAGTTGTTCTTGAAAATAACGTATTAAATATATATGATTTCCTAACAAGTCTAAACATACTAAAGTATTGTCTTTCTCTCCGTGACAGTTGACCTCGGGCATTGAGTCTCAAGGTCAGTTGTCTTTTCAGCTGTTTCAGAGATCATGTGGGATTAGTGGTTATATATATATATTGATTTTAGCAGTTCTCATTCGTTACCTAAGGAGATCAGTCTTTCAAATATGGCAAACTACAGAAATGTGGTGTTTCCCCTATCAACAATAACATTTACGAATATCATAATCATCAAAGAATTACACGAATCTTCCTGTTACACTTCCTTGTGTGTCAAAAAGAGTTTCAGAGTGTCCATTTATAAGCAGGATACACATGTGTGCTGTATTAACTATACCTTTGGCTCAGTAGGTTCATGTACTGTAGGATCTTGCAATTTCATGTCGTGATTAGTTGCGTATAGTTTCAAGTCCAATTGTCTTCACACTTCTCTTCCAGATATATCCAGACAATGCGGATTGCTTGGAGGACCCTCGTGTAAGACAGCATGTTATTACAAGTATTGAAAACTTCTTTGTTAAATGCTTTGGAATCGATCCCAACGCAGAACCAAACTATTATGTTGAAGACGAAGAAGAGGAATAAACTTTAGAGAGACGCTTGGAATGTGCGCAGAATATGATTTAGATAGAATGGCATAGGAATGTTGTGTCATCAATATGGAGTAAAGGTTTTTAGATAAGCCATGCAAGACAAATTGGGATAAATAATAGAGCTAAATTTGCATCTATTTGAATACGATTTTGTTTTGTAGAATCACAAACACAAATGACAGTTTTAGAAGAGTTAGGAGATAGGCAAGAGGATATCAGTCAGGGATTTGATCAGCATTTATAATCAACACTTGTATCATACATTTCACACCTCATTTTGAAATATTTCCATAAAGATCATTTCAATTACCATATCACCAAGACATGAGTTTCTTGTCGTATGTTGTATGTATGTTGATCATTTCTCTAAGTATGGTTTTTATACGTTTTGTCGTATTTTGTCAAAGACAATACTTAAAGTTCTATATTACAGAATAACTAAAGTCGCAACATTTTTTTCTTCACGTTGCACGAAAGGTTTTAAGTTATGCTAAAATTAAGTTAAAGTAAATATTGATATGGATAGGGCATCTAATTTACTGTAATAAAAATGTATGAATACCTGAATACCAATTTATTGGCTATACATGTAATATGGGCATATAATATTGAGTCACACGTTTTTTAAAATAGCAAAAATAAAAAGCTTTTAATGGGTTGGTTGTGTAAAATCGAAAAAGGAAACCCCTAGTAAAGGGGATACAAAAAGAGACCCGAAATTGCTTGTAACTTTAAATTTTTTTTATTCACCCCTAATCTAATTTTGTAAAGAAAATGTAAATTTTTGAAAATTTTAATAAAAAATTTAAATTTAAAGGGGTTTAATGACGGGAAAAACAAAAATGATTTGCCAAGGTATAAAAACTGAAACAAAGTGATTCCCCGAAAACTGTAATACACAAAATTTCATGAACATTTCGAAAATTGCAGCTCGGTTTTTTACGAAAATGAGGGATAATGATAAAATGCAACAACCCAACGCCCCCAGAAAATCCAACATTGGGACTCAATTTGCAAAACCTAATAGTGTTTTGGGATAATGATCCCGAAAGACCAGAAAAATATAACAACACGGTTTTGACCGCACACATTTGATCAACACTAGTAGCAAAGCCTAATTAACTTTGGTTAGTGCAGGGCAAGGCTTCAAATAAATATCATTCAACCTGAAACAATTCAGGGTATGAAAATGTTTTATATCTGCTTCTCTGTTTATGACCATTTGTCAGTTGCAAATTTGTGAGAAGATTTTTATAAATTTTTTGAACTTACACATGTATATTATTTATCGTTTATGTAATATGACTTTTAACACACACACACAATTATCAAGGACAAAGGGCTGCTTTTAGTGTCACCTTTGTCAATGGATTGTTCAATTCGAATGAAAGTTGCATTCCGAATGAACGTTGTTACTTTAATCATTGTTAAATCTTATTTGTTAAATAAAACTTTATAAAGACAAAAGTATTTGTATTTTAGCTTTATTTTTAACAGAGAGTCGTTGGAGAATTTAAGACCCATAAAAGGTCATCTCTTTTTTCTTCTGCGTTTTGGCATTAAGTACAATAATAGTGTTTTAGTATTTTGTATGGACGTTCACGAAAAAGACGTTTTACCGTTGTTGTCCCTTAACACAATCTATTTCACATTTAGCCCAATTTTCTTTAGTTGATAAGTATCTCACATTTTCTGAATCCAGTATTTTAAACGGATGTTCCGTTTATTAAAACATGTAAAAACTAGGCGGCTTGGTGTGGTTAAATCAAAATTTGAAATGCTAAACCTATTTATTTATTTGTTATAAATTATATTCATGTACTATATAAACTTCTGAGTAATTAAGAAATAAGAATAAAGAAGGAATTTGAGTATATTCTTTATTTTCATGCAAGACCAGCATACATAATTTCAACAAACACAAATGTTAACAGTATATTTTCAAAACAAGGACAAACTTTAAAAATTACCTCCATGCTTGTCTTCAAATAATAGTACTGTTTAGAGCAGGCGACCGCAAGATTCGTGCTCATTTTAAATAAGTTTGATTAATATTTTTTTTACTTTAACTATACAAATAAATCATGAGGTTGAAATACAAAAACCAAACAGTGTAGTCATATTTTGCATAGACTCATTCATTTCTTTAACTTTTTGTATAACAAAAAATTAAAGTTTACCTTATTGACAATCACCTTTTTTATCTGGAGGCATGTAGCTTTTGAAGTTTAGAAAAAACAAAAGAAAAATAAACAATCAATCAAAGTATTTATCTCTTGTCAAAATATATTATTATAGCAAATAACAAAACAAATTAATGATAATAGAAAACAGATATGATAAATGATTCTAGCACAAAATGAAATATGATTACCATGTAGTAAAGAGTGACATAAAAGAATTACCATACACATTCATACATAACATATAGTAAAGCATTTTAAGCATTGTACAAAAAACAAAATGCTCTTGAATTTTGGCGTAGTTAGATATAAACTTATAATCATTTCAATTAATACAACAATAATCGACAATGTACGTAAAAACTGCCATACAATTCTACCTAACTCAAAAAAGATTGCATAACAGACATGAACGAAACAAACACGTGAAATAATTCTTAATATATTTTGTTTGCGATTCACTCAGAAACTGTAATCGCAACTTTACTGATAAAGGAAACCGTCAGGTGCCCCAGCATGCTTTATTCCCAAGCACGAGCGGGCACATGAGAAGAATCATCAACGGCCGGTACCTAGCCAGATAGCTTCCTCACATTCAAGACGTCAAAGTCATTGCAGTAATTGGAACCACCCCGGTTGAGGGGCTATGATTTCAAGTCAATAATCTCGACCACTCCGCCAAAGTTGTAAAAAGACAGTCAGTTAATTGCATTTGTTATAATAATATGAAAAGTAAAGTACTAGTAATACAATATTGTTTTAGTTATGCAGATGTAGTAAACATCGCTAGAAGTAGTGAACTGGTGTAAAGTATGGTTATGTATAAATTAAGGCGTGGTATAAATCTTTGTGTAAACTTCTATAGTATGAACTAATCTGTCTGTGCAAATTAAGGTGTCACAGTGGTAAAAAGATAAAATAACAAGACATTCTTACAAAGTGTATAAATTTAATTTCGTGATATCTAGGATGATGTGCAATATCAAATTACATAGACTAGCACTTGAAAACAATATGATTATCATGTGGTCAATACATTAGCCAGATTTGGCTTGTCCGGATATAGACTACACGTGTATAATTAAAAGGACATTAAATAAAAAAACAATAATTAAAATATATATGTTTATGTGATATCTCTCAGTGAAATTTTCAGTGTCATTTCCAGTTGGGCGCCAACATTTTTAATGGAATTTAATGACAATCGGTGGGATATACCAACTACTAAACATTCGCAACCCTCGGCTTAAAAAATATAACCGATTGAAAACGAAAGCGGTGCATGAAATACCAAATGAGACATTTAAAACAAAAAAGCATGTAAAATAGGAAAATAGTGGATTTTTATATTTGTCCTTCCGTTCATCCATTCACAGAGTTTGACTACTGTCACATTTTCTTTCATTAAATAAAAACCTACGTAAAACAGTGTAATCACGATGACATGGATGATGTCCTGAAACATTTGTTTGAGCACCTTTTATTCAATTAATATCTGTTTTCATCTTTGTATGTTTGTTATAGTCATATTATTCAAATGTCAAATTATCATTCATAATTTTCCAGACAAATGACAAAGTTTTATGGTTCAAGTGAGAAGTATAGAATATAAAATTCTTAAATTTTTCTACTTTTTTATGGTTCCATTGTCACACAACACAAAATAATTGCTTAGTCTAAAGTTTTGTTGCACGTTGTACATCGACCTCGTCAACAAGCATTTCAATATTATTTAACAAGGATTATTTTTTTATCACAGTGTAGGTCATGGGTGTCAAATTCTTAAGAGTCTTGTGCTCTTATCTATGACAAGGCAGTTTGATTTATTTTGAGGCAAGTATTCCCAGACAGACGATACTTGTAACAATAACTAAAAGTATGAACAAATACATAAAACATCTGTCGAGAATAAGGGCCACCTCTTTCCATGAGTATATTTTAATCTCGTCTTCATCCGCATCGTCATCGCCTTCAAGGTGATTTACTTCAACTACATCTGAATTTTTACCTCTGTACCTTGTCTTGGCATTGGAATCGAAAGGTTCAACACCGTCAAGCGGCAGTTTAACGGTAGACAAACTTAATTCACTGGATTTATTCTTCGGACTGACCTTTTTCTTCTTACAGCATCTTTCTCCTTAATAAGTAGATGCAAAATAATTGATACCTGCATAGAATAAAGCTTGGAATATGAAAGGTTGGGGCTTTCTTGAAATTACATTGATTACTTTAAGCTTAACATAGCTAAAATAATGTGTTGATGACAACTTAGATGTTTGTAAAAAGTAACCACAACAAATACCCATGTAAGGCCCGCTTGCAATATTTTCTAAATATTTTTTTTCTGACATATTGAATAACCAAATTTTCAAAATCATTTCAACTCGAAGTAAACGAAATCAATATGTATAAAAATAGCGAATGATTTTAATGTAACTAATGAATTGATTCAGCCTTAGGCTAAAAAAATTAATTTCACTCGATTTATTGCATTTTAAGTATCAATTCAGACGTATGAACAAAATTTTGTTAATGCTTAACTTATTCAGTGGTCATACGTATGAACAAAATCTTGACAAGTTGAGAAAAAAATTGTTCATGCGTATGAACAAGTTTGAAACTGCTAGTATATTTGTTTATTTTTTACACTATTCTTATTTTTTGTTCAGACGTATGAACAAAAATTGTTGAAAAATAAAAATATGTTGCTAAAATGTTTCTGTTTTTGTCCTATTTTGCCCAAAAAGAAGTATTTTAGTGTGTTTTTTTTTTCAAAGAAATAACTCTAAAATGGGCCAAAAAGAGGGGCACTCGGAAAACCCTCTTTTATTCTGGAAGCAGATTATAATAATGACAACAATTAAAAAAGTTTACCTTTCCACATTGAAATTTTTACGAGGAGCAACCTTGTCATTGTCTGGACCCATCTAGGAGGTTCTTCGTCATCATCATGGTTAAAATAAATGTCGAGCACAACAATGGTGAAAATGACGGACAGTGTACTCAACATGAAAATAATCGTCAGATATGTAGCTGCAAAACAGTGCAAAATATCAAGATCAAATCAGTCTTATGATAGTTTTAGTTAAACACTCAGATCTCTTTACTTAATATCTTATTTTTAAAATTTGAAGAGTTTACGTATTATATTATAATAACGACACTCAAAGTCTTGCCAATTTTTATTCAAAAAGAGGTTCAAGATTGCAAAAATCGGAAACTTTTTATATGTAAAAATAAAGATGTTTTGTACTTACACAGTATACTGGTGCTCAGTGAGGTTCTTGGGATATTGTCGGCAATCAATGTCAAATAGACAGCATATGCCAAAAGAACTAGAAGTAATAGACACACGATGCCATTGAACAAAACAAGACATTTAGTCAACAACAAAGAAAAAAAAATATTTGTTGGGTACAGACCACAATGGTAAACAGTACATTTTATTTCCTCTTATAGTTTAAACTACGTGTAGGTCCAAAGACTTTATGCCCATAATGACCGTTTAAAATATTCACAAAGACAATATTCTACGGCTGTTAAGTTTATATAGAATATATTGTTATGATTAAACACATCTGATATTCTTTAATGAAGACGCATAACATGTTTAGTTAATACGAAAATTCCTGATATTTCAAAGACAATGTGACCACGTTTTAGTGGCTTTAACTTTATCACAACTATGAAAATGCTATATAATTCTTATCAAAGAATGATTTACTCACCTGTTAGTGACATTCCGACTCTTTCTCCGGATTCGGGAGGAAGCTTAAAAACAAATATTATCAATGACGCCATCAGAAGAACCGGAAATATTGTATTCAAAATGTGAAACAAAGGCCGTCTTTTCAGTTTAAATGTGAACGACAGTCTGAAAAATACGAATAACCAAAATTTTCTATGATGCGATTGAGGATCAAGAAATTGAAAATATTACAAATAAATAAAAGTTAACATTAATATAAATTTCTCTCCCCTGGACATATTTCATTTGTTTATTTGATTTGCGTTGTTTAACATTAAATCTAACTGCCCAGGATGAGTCAAAATATTTCAAGAAAGTCAAACCTGTGAAAAATGTGCAAAGATGTTAAGAAAACTAAAAGATTCATGTACAAACTGATATGGTATGTGCTAAACTTGGCAGTATTTGTCACCATATTTCTACTGCATGTTAAACACAGTTAGGGTTATTTTTATATATTTCAACCTAGGGATCTTTCTTTCGTGGATTACTGGTAGTAATGTGTAAAATACGCACATTCTTTGTTCGCATTTTTACTTTTGAAAACATGCTTGATATTGTCATGACAATTGGCATGAAAGCGGTATCCACCAGTTTCAATATGGATAACGATACCAGTGAAATGCATCACAGCTGGAACGGAGTAAAAACAACATACATGCCTTTTTTGAACATTTAGGAGGCTACAGACTAATTAATCAAACACTCATACCTGGTATAACTGTTGGTGTCATGTTTCGATTTCTCCGCTGTCTCTGTACTTGTTGACGTCTCAATCAGATCCCATTCTCCATTTGGCTATAATAGCAAAGTAAAGATATACAAAGGAAAATATTTTACGCCTTTTAGGCATCATAACGAATCATTCATTAATTATCAGAATGGCTGTCTTGTGTTACATGACATTGAAATTTTTCAAAGATTGCTTGATCGTATTTTTATAAGATATGGTAATATGATTTCTTAAATTCATTACAATCATATTGACCCATGTATGTTAATTGATATACATGTTACACATTTCTTTATCATGCAAGCATGTGACATAAATGTCAAGTTGCATAGAAATATCACTTGTTTCCTTTTATCAAGTTACTAACCTTACTTCATAGTATAAATGTCAAAAAAAAAATGCAAGACTTTGGAAAAGTGTGACTATAAAATTAAATAGAAGGGTGTTTTAAGGAAAAAAGCGATTTTATGTTTGGTTTGGTCCGGATAAATGTCCATTTCACGGTTTGAAAATAAATTGTGTTCTGTTATCCAGTTAAATTATAAAATAAATGTAACATTTGTAGTCTAACATTTTATAAAATATACTAAAACATGTTATTTCGAAGTACTTTAACATTTTAAAACTGCAAAAAGTAGAGAATAAAGACTATTGCATTCAAGCACCTTATATCGACTTGTTTGTGTTTATCATTTTAATTAATATTTTTTATAATTATTATGTGTTTATTTCTTCTTTGATCTTTTTTTAATAGTCAAGCATTGTTTTACATTATAAATGTGAATTGTAAAAAAAAACCTACACTGAAGTCATCTGTGGAAATAGGATCATCAGAAAACATCAAATAAACCTCGTTTGTTGTGTAAGCCCAAGTTGTAAGCACAATGCTGAAAAACATATACCATTTATGTTTAGAGACAAACAGTCATATAAAATTTCATGTTAAAGAGCACTGCGCACACAAAGACTGTCATTTTCAGAAGATCACACGGTTTAATATAGACCCTCGCAATAGAATAATGAATGCACTGTTTTTTAAGTGGCCGTTAGAGGCCATTTTAATCCCGCGAGAAATTTTACCGTCAGTTTATAAAATCATAAAAATGTTGTGATCCACGAGATTTTATGTCGAAATTGTGTAGAATGACGAGGCTTATACACTCTCGAGTTTTATTGTCACACGTCTGTCGGAAAAGTCGACAGTTTCTGTCTTCATAGTTGACTAAGCCAAGCAAACATATGCCTAATTTAGGTAGCCGATTGCGGTCATTATAATCCGCATAATTTGCTTTGATGCCTATCTTGTAAAAGGGCGGCCAGTTTTAGGATTAAACCTCTAATTTTCATGCCGCTGAAAAGTCGCACCTGGAAAGTTTGCTATTACTCGCCGCGTTATTTTATGAGATGATGATGAACAAAATGTCGCCGCCTTTATTTCCTCCCTCGATTTTTGAAGACTTTTTCTACAACACTTGTCGCTGATTTCCGTCTGTTCCTTTACCTTTTTATAACCAGGGACAAACATTGGCGCCACCGGCGATTATAGTCAAAAATGTTCCTTGCTGTTTTCCAGCAACTGTTTTAAAATATCGAGGTTTATACGTTCCCCGCGACATTTAAAACGATTTTGGCGGACGGACTAATATGACAACATTATACGGTTGCGCAACCTTTTTTCTAAAGTACCGCACTGTACCTAATAGCACGTATTCTGAAGGTTATCATCAAATTTTGTTTGCCATCAAGTATTGCCACCAAAGCCAAACATAAATAAACACATTACAAGTTTTAAGAAAGGCACACATAACTGCACTGAATTATTTTCGTCTTTATTCTTGTTCTTAATCTTGTTTTCCACTCATTTAATGTTGAACATGACAAATAAAGAAATTTGGAAAAAATATTTACCTGCATGTTTGTGTATCAAGCGGGTAGTAGGTAATATCCACATCACAGCTTGTCTCAAATATACCACCAGGTGTCCAGTAAGCCGACCCGTCCGAACTAAGCCGAATAAGCCAGTTAGTGTTGCTGAATACCTCGAGTTCTGTCACACTATTATTATTCAAACAATATTTCAGAATTGTATAACTTGGTGTTAGGGACGTATTTGACAGAGTACATGCAGTTAAGGTATTTGACTTCCAATCATTTGCCCTTCGCCGCTTTGGGTTCGTTTCCCGCCAGTGGCATTGGCAACTTCCACGTTAAGAAGCTATCAAGTTAGCTTACGGAACGTCGATGTTTCTACTTAAATGCAGGATTAATTCATCGTAAAGTCAAATAAAATAACAAATTAGCATTTCGTTAACAGATGTTCATAAGTGAAACATTGGTGAAAAATTGTATCCTTTGATTAACAGGATAAATAAGTATGTTGAATATAAGTCGACCAACATTGACAATCTGGTTACAAACGATTTTGTTTTCAGTATGGAACAATGTTAATAAGTAGGCCACATATTCTGTATACATAATACATTATATGAATTTACTCAGCATGGACCTATAAGCGGTAATGATTGGCAGGGGATATTTCTAAAGCAAATAAATGATAAGGAGAAGTAACGAAAGCAATGAAACTAATTAAGAAATAAAACATCAGATAGGTAGAAGAACAAAAAAGTTTAAAGTTAGTAAATGATAATTTAAAACTATCAATTCTAGTAAATATGTGTAAAAAGTAGGTTGCATGTTGATATGCGAAATAGGTAAGTTGCAAAGGCGTTACCTAACAAAAGTCATCTAATATATGATAAACAAGATCAACAAGGAACGCAACACCTAAAACTTTATTGTTACAGGAAAGTACGAGTATAAAGAAAAGGTAAATGCGATGCTAAAATTCTTCAATGTTATATTTTTTTATTCAATCTTGGTGAATAAACTTGAATTAAAGTGTTAATCTGGAAGCAGGACTTGTGTAAACTGTCTGTTATGACAGTGTCCATAAGTTGCTCTTTGGTTTCTGAATTTTGCAACCATTAATATTATGATTTTTTATGATTCTAAATCAGCCAAACTATTACTCAATTAAGGAGAGACATAAAGATAGAAAAAATATCAAATATTTAGAATTAGACGATAACATTGAATTTATGCAACTTAACACTTAATAACACATGTACTGTCATTGTCAAAAGAAGCACAACATTTTGTTCAGTTAAAAATTATCGTGGTATTTCATGATTTTTCTTTTTTTCTATTATTATTATTATTATTATTATTATTATTATTATTATTATTATTATTATTATTACTTTTATTGTTTTTCTAAACAGTCAAATAATTCTTTTTGCCAGAGTTAACATGAACGCGTTTGTGATAAAGTTTTGACAGAATCCAATGTGTTACAAAATACTGTATATCTATATATATTAATTACTAGTATATGATTTTAAGGAGTAAAGTCCTTAAATTTATATGTATATCAAAAATAACATCGCTAACTGTGAGGTAAATACATATCATACGCATAAGCTTATAGAGTACACGAGATATCCGTGCATGTAAGGCACACAGATGAATTTTATTTAGAAATGGGTCCATAATAAAGGCTAAACAATTTTTGTGACATAGCCTATGTCTGTCACAAATCAGAATTACATTTGAAAAATTATAACTTTAAAATGCACGTCTGGAATATTTCTTTATGCACATCATCAATTTGCAAAATGCTTTAAAATCCTATCGAATATAGCAGCATATTATTTTGTTCCAAACAATTTTATTGTGTGATGCAATATTCATAATTGTAAAATAACAAAGGCATTCTATGTTTCAGCTCTTTCAACAATCCACAAGACAATACAATTGTGAAAACTACACATTTATTTTCTTTTTTTAAATTCTGGAAAAAGAAGAAGAAGAAAAAAACATCCTTATACCCTTAAAACATTCATATCCAAAATATTTATAGCAATCATATTTTTTGAATTGTGAATACCAGTGCAAATGTCTTGAGACCTACAGCTAAATATCTATAAAATCAGAAAAGTCAGATTCTATAATTCATCCTAAGTGAATACCTTTTCGGTTTTACCTATTTGCAACATAGACTGCGGGAAACCACATGTATTTAGTGTTCGAAAATAAGAATCTGATATTAGAATAGTTCCCTTGGTGGCGCCATTCGAGTCGAGGATCTTTCCATGTCTGTTGAAAGCATGCAATCAAATGAAATTCAAAAGTTTTTGACAAGTTAAAGAACAACTATTATACCATGATAACTGTGCCGTCAATCTAATTGCGGGAACTTTAGTTTCGGGTAAGTTTATGGAAGTTATTAATGTAAAGGTAAATAAAATAATTTAACAAAAATCTGCGTTTATGATCGAAGAGAAAATTTATCAAGATTAGAATTTGTCAATAATATCTCTTTCTGGTTTTTGCCGAATATTAAGTTAAAGTTTCCTGCATTAATCAAAAGTCAATGTTGTCTTTAACATTGTACGTAATTTTACAAATGACATTCATTTCCGGAAAAAAATAGGGTCCGGATGAAAGCACGAGTCTGCAGATTAATTTGTTCATCTTGCACAGGGACTACAATTTATTGATTTATTATACACATTTTCACTTGACAATGAAACATTGTAATTTTCTTCCAATTTGTATTATTAAAAGGCATTTCTATTATTGACATTTTACTTTAAGGAACAAAAAGATGAAGATTATGTTAATGAAACAAAAACATTTCTAAGTACACCCATTGGCTCCGTACGAAGTACATGTTGTATGAACTTTACCATTTCCCCATGTTTGTAAGGTGCAAAGAGCAAGGTTCACTAAGCACCAAAAATGGCCCCATCTTAGATATTAATAAAAACCTAAAGGTGTATAGTACAATGTGTTACATTTTCAAAATTGACATTTATTAGGCATGTCTGGTTACTATAACGACATAATGACGTCATAATTAGAGCACCTGTTTAATTCAATTAAATCACAGATTTGACGACAACTTTCATACAAGACTTATAAATTTGTGTGTTTGACTGAATTAAACTCATAAAGATAGCAATATATTTCTTATATATTGTAAACAAAATTATAATTTAGTTAAAATTAGACTATTGTGTCACAAAACTAATATAAAAGATAAATGGGGCTCATTTCGGATATTCCAAATTCGGATATATAGAAATGAAAATGTGAATGCATATTATTTTTCGCCTAACTAAATGTATTTATTTTTATTTTTATAAAAACTGTAAGTTTGTTCATTTTCTAATAATAAATGTTGAATTTGCTTGTTTTATTCATCTACCTCTTACCTAATGCTTTAAATAAGGATGTATAGAATCAATCGCAATTTTAACGGCCTTTTTAGTCAGTTTTTTGACAAGGACGTTGAACATAATAATAATAATAATAATCATTATTATTATTATTATTATTATTATTATTTAATAATAATAATTATTATTATTATTAAAACACAAAACAGATAGGTATTTCTGTCTAACTTAAAGCAGCACGCCTCCAGATTAATGCTATTTTTTTGTTGAAAATTTTGAAAATGAAATAAAATGTATAATATTTGATAGTAAATTAAGGAAAGCAATTTACACATTATCAATGACACTTACAACCCACGTTAATTACAAAAAAAGAGGTCAAAATGTGCATGAAAAGCCCTTACTGCGTTAGTAACGCAGTAGAAATAAGGAGAAAAATACTGCAAAATCAGCGCACATAGCATGAGCATTTTTACTTTGATCTTGAATCTCTTTGCTTTTCTTAAAATCTCAGTACTTTTTTTCTCAAGTTTGATTTTATAAAATATTTTTGCTCATCTGGAGGCATGCCGCTTTAACTAAACTTACACTGAGTAACTATATACATGTAAGCAAATAGTTTGTAAATACTAGGAATTGTTGACTTATTCCAATGTAAAGTGTAAAAGTCCGACTAAATTAAATAAATTAATAGATATAAAAGTATGTTAGATTTTTTTTTGTCAAGTAAAAATAATGTTTGACTGTATGCTCTTTCGGAGTATACGCAATATTTGATACTGAACTGCAAATTTGATACTATTTTCTTTTATGAATTATGATACAGCCAAATCCAGAAAACGATTTGTGTTATTTATAATTATGGAAATCAGACTTTTATTACAAATGTAATGTAATGATTTATGACGATATGAGAACTAAGAAAAAAAACAAGAACTGTCACAGAACATGACAAATGCCCCCGAAGGATTCTAGTTATAAACCACTTATTACATGTTAAGTGTGGTGGTAAAAATTGACAAAGTTCGAACCCCAGCAGTGAACTATATGTTATACAAAGAAACCTAGGTCTTGTTCACAACACACTACCCATCTATGGTGACTTTATATTTTAAATAAAAATTGAAACTTTCATGTATATGGAAGTTACAGAGCGGATACACCAAACCACCATTTATATTACATATATAACATAAATATTGAAAAAAGTTTAAGCCCCAGCAGTGACCTTAAACTAAGGCGTAGGAACACGGGTCTTAAGGGCAACACATCATACATTTATGATAATTTCATATGTGAAATAAAAAATATAATCCTTTCATTCATGTTAGTTTCAGAGCAGACACAACCATCTCTGCCTATATGTATATTAATATCAAAATTGACAAAGTTTGAAACTCCCACAGTGACCTTGACTTAAGTCATAGAAACCAGTCTTGTTCGCGACACACCAATACATCTATGGTTATTTCATATATGAAAGAAAAATTAAAACCCTTTCATGCATACTGAAGTTTTAGAGTGAACATGACCACCACTGTCTATATGTATAAAGCCTGAATGACTGACGGAATGACAGACTGACAGACAGACAGACGGTTCGATTTTAATATGCCACCCTTCGGGCGCATAAAAACATTTATTTACATGTATCCATAATTAATGTGACATAAAACAACTCTAAGTAAATTTTGGTTTATATCATTCCAATATGCCCTTACATCTATATAATGATTGTAAATTAAAGAAGTCTACAATTAAAAATTTAGTTTAGCATTGTCTCTATTACTGTTAATTTTATCAATTCTCTTTCACACTGTATTGAATGGCTATCAATTTCAAAATACCGCTACATGGTCAGCAAGATTATCAGCCCAATTTCTCACTCCTGACTGAGTCTCACCACTCCTCATGGTGTCCATATGCGAGGTACCATGAAACGGTGGAGACATCAGAACACATTTAAACTATGTACATGCACCAGCCGCAAAAAGGCAGTAATATGCATCAATGCTGTCATTCATGTAGATAATCCAATCTATGTAGTTATGGCTGCTTACATGTATGGTCTGCAATTTCGTGCATAAAATAAAAGGATCCTTTGTGAAAAAGGACAAGTCAAGACATCCTGTGTAGTTATTCTGGGAAACAGCTAGAGCTTAATACCATGCTTTTTTCTCATCATGGGAAAGTCTACTGAAGACATTTCGTCCGTTGACTCCTAACATATTTCCTGCTTTGGCAATTTCTTGTGAATATTTTTTAATGAGAATAATACTAAATTAATAAGATTTAAACCTTCTTGCTGAACTTTTAAGCAATTAAATGTCTAACAAATCTTTAATACCTTAATAACTATGAAATAGCATTGACTCATAATTCTAAAAAAAAAATGAAGGAATAAAACTTAATACATTAAGGAAATAATTATTTACTCTAAAAGTACTATCTATTTTATTATTTATGAAAACGATAATGAAAAAAAAAATGAAAAAAAAAAGAGTTCATGATCAAGGTATGAACTCAATTCTCCTGGGTGAGAGGCACCCATGCTACCACTGAGCTAATGTAACATTCCACCATGTTATGACATCATTTAACAAGTAGTTTTACATATACATCAATGCAGACGATGTGGAGTTACAGTATAGAGTTTAAATACTCTACATACAGTATTTTTAAATTGTTTTGAGACTTGCAATCATTTTATTTTCACAAAGTAAATTGAATTCTTCTAATCTGCCTTTTAAAAAGACATGAAAACCTATTAATCACTGTGCAGTTGTTTTTGTTGTTGTTGTTGTTGTTGTTTTTGAGGGCATAAGAAAAGTAGGCTATTCAGCAATAAAATAGCCTGAACAGCATAACTTCTTTCAATGAATCAATAAAATTACATAACAACACCTTGCTAATTCTATGAATGAAATAATTATGGCATAAACATAATTTCAGCATTTCTTTATAAACGTTTACATTTAATTCTTTTAACCTGTCAGAGTTTTGTTTACAACCATTACAGTGGAAACCGTCGAACTCGTACCAAAACTTCATCGTACTCATTTTAGTGAAAGTGCCTTTAATTTACTAGAAATGATTTTCCTGCAAACATTTATTAAAATATATGTTATGAATCATATTTCAACAACTTAGAACAAATATTAATAATGTTGAGTGCAATATACATGCTCCATGGTTTGCATTTAATGAAATAAATGTCAGAAAATGACGTTTAGATATTAGATAAAAATCTAATTTTGGAATAGAGCACAGGCAAGCCCCAACTTTATATTGATAGAGTTGAAGCCTTTGATACATTACAACACAATGGTGTAATGATTTTGTTGGGGCTCGACTGTGCTGATACTTTAATTTTCGTTTAAAACACCAAAAATACATGAATTTTCCTAATTTTGCTGGAAATAGGGGTATTTCCATAGAACATAAATCATACTAAATGTAAACATATGTCTTTAAATTCATATGTTTTTAACAGTTTAAGGAATGAACTTATAAATAAAACTTAAAAACAAGAACTTTGCATCAAATTATTTTTTGCCAAAATCTTGGGCAAAAATCCATGGTTAGTGAACCTAGCTCTTTCTATATAAATGTTAGTCATGACAACAAGTTAACAATTTGTGTTAATATTTAGAATATTATAGACTTCCACAATACTACACTGTTGACACTCATGCCTTACCTATTCTCGATAAAAATTGCTGGACGCCATGCATATTTTTCAGTAGTAAAAAGAAATCTTATACTTGTGTAGTTGACGTTACCGGACCAATCAAGTCTTGAATCGTCCCATTTCTAAAATGCCATTATATGTTATCATGAGTATAACCAATCGCAACCTTTCGGCCCTTTCCGCCGATCTCCGGACACAAATGTAAGAAAACGGAATGGGCACGGTATTTCGGTCTAACGACACAGGGAAACAAAAATGGTAGTAAGTAATGCAGGGCGATGTTGCCTTTGTTTATTCTAATAAATGTTGTAAAAGTGCACCTTAATTAAGTAAATTTATAGATATAAAATTAAACTGTAAATTATTTCTATACTTATTATTATGATTGTAGTAACCAAAAGTACAAATTGTTAACCTTTTGATATTAATTCGGACTTTGGTTATAATTTTGTAAGAGTTAGCGTTTTTAAACTGGTTGATTATCAGACATATTTTTGTTAATCATAATTTTACCGAAATAGACTTTATTTTACTTTGTATATCAAATAAACACATTTGTTATTCTTGAAAATACAAACTTGAAACACTACGGTTTTGCTACCAATTATACTCGTTGGGAAAGTTCATATTTGTTTTGGTCGAATTTTAAGTTATAATAATCATTTTAAATAATGAAAAAGTATTTCAAGTAAAGAAATGGGCATGCAGTTCAATCGTTTTTTATTTACAAAGCTATTATATGGAATCAATGATTAATTATGGAATAATATAACTTACACAAACACAGTCTAAACTATTTATTCAGACTTCATACATGGCCGTCAAGTTCGTAAAAGCATACAATGATGGTATTGAATTGATCAATGAAAAATAAACATTTTGCTAATAAGAGAGCAGGATTTCTTTCGATTCCATATTGTGTTATGTCTTAAAACATCAACGTATGAAAATTTGAAAGATGCATGCATCCAGGTGAAAATATTTGAAAATATTTCAAGAAAATAAAATTTAAAACAAATGTACTAAGATTTTAAACGAAAAAGATTCAAGATTCAGGTATATTTTTTCAGGCTCGGCGGGCTTAATAACTGATTTTTCAGTGTTAATCATCGTAATTTAATAATGTCTACCTGTGTATTGGATATGTTTCGTGGATTGTAAGCGAAAATTACTTTCTTTGTTCACTTCACAATATTTTTCATTCTAAATAAATTTTCAAAATTTTCACAAAAACAATCATGAATCTGGAGGCATGCTTCTTTATGTAACACAGGATATTTTAGCTGTGCTTTAATAGGGCATAAAATGAAACGCGTCATGACAAAACCAACATAATGGGTTTGCGACCAGTATGGATCCAGACCAGCCTGCGCATCCGCGCTGTCTGATCAGGATCCATGCTATTCGCTACCAGTTTCTCTACTTGTAATATGGTTTGTAAGCGAACAGCATGGATCCTGATCATACTGCGCGAATGCGCAGGCTGGTCTGGATCCACGCTGTTCGCAAACACATTATTTTGGTTTTGTCATGACGCGGCTCAAATATATTTACGAAATTGTAGGTGCCTTTTTGAATGGCTAAATTAGAACAATTGGACCCATATCAGATGTCGATTATTTTTTAAAATACCATTCGTGATTATTGACTCAGTTTATTTGTATGGCCCAGATATGGTGTAAAATGGCACTAATAGTCTTCAAAATGCATATGGTCATATAACATTTTTATAATAAGAAGTATATTATACTGGTAATGCATTCAATGCTCTCAAAATTGCGACGCTCTTGAGATATCTGATATTTGACTATTTTTATTTCGAGCGTATTTATTCTTATGGAATTAATCCTAATAAGTAATATTTACCATTGTAAAAAATCCTGACGTCGATAATATCTGGTCTTTAATATCCTACAATAGAAACAAAAACATTTACTTTACAACTTTATAATGTGAAAAGGAGAAATATACCCCCATTGTCGTTGAAATCACGAATGACAAAGAATTATTATTATCATTTCAGTGAAAAAGAAGTAAGCAAACAATCAGTTTAAAAGGCATTGAGATATTTTTGATATATTGTTTAATTCATATATCTTGTCAACCTAGCTAGTTCAACAAAATCGCGTGCAAAACGTTTTTTTTTTGGTTTGTTTTTTTGTTTTGTTTTTTGTGCATAATGCAAAGACACGCATTTCAACCGAAATGAAGCATATTTATTCAATATAAAATGTACTATAATAAATGAACCTATAAGAGACATGGTACATTGGTGTTCATTTGTTTATTTTTTTTAACAGTCATTATGTTATAATCCTTTCATTTTTTTCAAATTAGATTTACGAATCGTGTCTTTCGAATTTACGGGTTTTCTAATTTAGGCAGACAGATTAATTACCGGTCATAAATCTTATCAGGCCACTTATATCAACGATTTTTTTCATATTTGGCAACATTTCAAGATATTCGAATGAAGCTATAGCTGTATAACCATATTTTTGTTATTGACAGAAGACTATTTTACTCAAACACAACACACGTGTTTGTTTTATTTGTTTTGTAGTCTGCACAATTACCAGTTTTTTTGTAATAAATATTTCTCTCGAAGTTCATTCTTAAAATTAAATTACTTTAAAGATCCTGTAACGCAATTTTTATGATTAAATATCATAAATATAATGCTCAAATGAAGATTTATCATTAATGATTACAAATAATGTGGACAAATATTTGCAGTACATATATTACACATTTTTCGATGTATGAAAATTGTTTTAGAAGTATAATTATATACATACTTAAGTGTGGTATACAACCTTAATTACAGCATTACATAGGATCCTTAAAGTTGCAGGCCTCCGGGTTGGAAGACAATATTGTAAAACATCAAAGTTTTGAATAATAAAATAAATACTTTTGTACATTTTGACCTGTTTTACTTTCTGTTTTCACTGCACATTATCCTTAATTCATTTTCAAAATGTTTATGAATATAAGCATATGTCTTTTGATATGCAGCTTTAAATTGCTTTATCTATTCACTTGAACATAATTTTACTATCTGAAACACGCATGCTAATTTCTATTAATAGTTGGAATGGTTGAGGCGTGCTGCTTTAAGTATTGATTATAATTTGAGCCGTGACACGACAAAACCAACATAATGGGGTTGCGACTAGCATGGATCCAGACCAGCCATGCCGTTCGCTTTCAAACTACAGAAACTGATAGCGAACAGCATGGATCCTGATCAGACTGCGCAGATGCGCAGGCTGGTCTGGATCCATGCTGGTTGCAAACGCATTACGTTGGTTTTGTCGTGACGCGGCTCATTTCATATTTCTTACCAGAGAGTTTATTGTCACAAGGTTTAATCCGATGCTAACAAACGTGCGCTCATCTGGTCTCTGAAGGACCTCATAGTCGGTGAAAAGTTCTGTTCTCACAGCTGTTTCCAATTCTTTAGAATAAGACGGAATAGAACTGGAGCATTGGAAGATGTTGACGGATACAATCAAGAAAGCTGAAATAAGAAGGTGTATAAGATTAAACTAATATGAACAAATTAATTGAGTATTCTGACCCAATCTCAATAAAATTAGATCATTGTTTTCGCTCCGTTACTCTTCGCTACGAAGGTAATGGAGCGATAGTTAGGATATGATTTAAATGATGATTGTATGCTGACCCTAGGAAGTTGGGGTTGGGGAATTTATTTTTACACAACCTATTTCATTTTGAAATTGTTTAATTCACATATATGTTTGCTGAATAACATTTCCATTTTTTATAAATACGTACTTAGTTACTCAATCTTACTTTTTTTAAAAGTAAGTACTTTGACACCACCTTCTTCTCCAGTTGGTACGCAAATATTAAATTTACGACAGAATAATTACTCTTTACCTTGATTTTGACCCAGATTGGTACATTAACGAACAAAAATGTCAGGTTTTATTTAGTAATGGCGATTAACAAAGCAAAGAACAAATATTTTTTCTGGTCATTATCTGTCGCATTTAACAACCTTTCAATATTGACATGTATAGGTATCAGATATTTCTATACATGTAATACAATGGCTTTTTACTATTTCGCACGCAATCGCACGACCCCAGGTCATTCCTGTTCTTCTTCTAAACAATAAATAACTCCCGTTTCTTCTTTTGGAAATGGCAGTGATATTGTATAATAGTTTCTTATTGTTCATGGTGTAAAAATTACTAAGTGTAATTGTGAGAATTTTTATCACAACCGTAGAGACCTGTGACTTAGGCAGATCAGATCTGCGGGTATATTTGTGTGATCTGCTAATGGATCAGATTGTTCGCTATTCTGCCGTACATATTTTGAAATTGCCCTTAAAAAAAATGATTTTTTTGTCCAGATCATATGATAAATAGATTTTGTCCTGCGTCCCCGCTTATTAGCGTGATTTCGCTCCACGACCCCGCCGTTTTATTTCTTAAAACTCGCTCCGCGCCCCCCGCAGGACGAAGTTTTATTTTTTTGAACATCGCCCCGCGCCCCCTCTAATTATCGACTGTTCGATCCGCGCCCCGCCATTTTAACTGGCTTTTTCTCGACCTTTTGCTTGGCGGGGTCGCGGAGCGAAAACACAAATGGCACAAATCAGCCACCATAGGATTGTGTATCAAGTGAGAAATAATTTTTACCTGGATCGTAAAACCCCTGTCACACTAAGACGGCGTTCTCACGGCGTCCAAAGAATTTCAGAACGCCGAAGTCAGCGTAGTAAGATCGCAAACATCGCCGTAGCATCGCCACTGCATCGTAGTGGCGTCGCATAGAACGCCGACCAACGTCGCGCATTTTGAACATGCTTAAAATAAACGCCGTCACTCGGCGTTCTAAAATGAGCGCAGTGGGATCGCAGTAAGGGCGTCGTAACAACTCAGTAGCATCTCCTACAACGCAACAGAAGCGCCGGGAAAGCGCGAAAGGAACGCCGAATGAACGGCGTGGTTATCCACGGCGCTTGTACGGAGGTTGTGCGGCGTCTTAACCGCGCTTATACTGCGTGTGCATGGTGCTTTTACGGAGCTTTACGATTTCAGCGCAGTGTGAGCGCCACGAGAGCGCCGTATGAGCGCCGTAAATGCGCAGTGAGAGCGCAAAGAACGTCGTAGAAGCGCAGTCCGAACGTAGACATTCGCCAACTAAAACGCCGTTGAAGCTCCGTTGCATCGCTATGATCGCCGTGGGGACTCATTGAAGTCTTTATGTCATCAAAAATATCACATATTTTATTGCGATCTCGCAGCGTTTTCTTAAATTTAACAACGCCGTACAAACGCAGTAAAAGCGCAGTCTAGTGTGACAAAGTCTTATGTAGACAGATAAAAAGATTACTTTTACAACATGCAATTATGCACGCTTTAAAGGAAAGGCAATTAATTGTATGATATTTAAATAAATATTATTTTCTACTGCGTCCTTATATTTCAAAAAAGTGTTTTGATGATTCCAAACACACTGTCAGATAAAAAAGCAAACACTAAATATTTTATTGAAATATGTGAATGTTTTCATATGTATTCGACTTTAAGAATTCTGTATTTATCTATTTTGTAAAGACTTTTATTTCGAATTCAATATTTAATTGTTTGTTTTTGTTTGTTTATAAATAACTTCGTTAACTTCATCGCTTACTTGTGTTCCACATACCCGTACATATGCTGAAGAATTAAAAAAAAATGACAGTTAAAGATATACTATGCTCAAATTTGATATCAGAAAATATAGATAATTGCTCCACAGTCTCTTTGTAAACATGAAGTAAACATATTGTGACTTCACACAAAGTTAATATGTCATGTTTAAAACTCTACACACGTGGGTCGTCACAATATGAATATATAGTGTCGTTAAAAAATTGGCAGTTTTTTTAAAGAAAAGACCAATTTTACTTATCGTTAATCAGAGAACGTGGCTTCCAATATAGTTTATTATTTATTTTTTAGTTAAATTATACATATTCAGTAAGAATTTCATAGATTTTAATAAATTACTCCGATTAAAATATTTTACTCAATGATTAGCATAGTATATCTTTAAAAAATTTGAAAAGGCCTTTACTGTGGTCGAAAACAGACAAAAAACAATTTAACATAACAAAGTTTTGTTAGCTTCAGCCGAAATCACCTGATATAAAAAGTCTGTATGCATGATTCTTTATTGTTATTGTATTACTTACAGTTTATTTTTGGCTGTGACTAAAAAAAGGATTGGAGCACCACACTAAATACCGTATTCCGGTATATACCGGACAAGGCGCTTGAATGATAAAATGCTAAAATCTTGTCTTTTCACCCAACGGAATGAACTTTAACAGGTCTAATTCATCTTTTCACACCGAATCAAGTACGATAATCAAGGAAAAATGTAAAATTCGGCGAAAAAAACGATATTTGTCTATTTTGTGATCATGATTTCTGCAAGCGTCTAGAGGTACTGCTCCAATCCTGTATTGAGCTAAATCCTTTATTTTTACTAAATCGGCATGAGAAAATGCCTTTGGCCATTTACAATAACTTTCATGATGGTCAAGACAACAGAAATATATACAATATAAATATAACATACAAAAACATATATACATCAAACGATTATTTTAACAATATTTCTATAACTTGAAAGTACTTTAAACATATATTTTAAGGAGCAGCCTTAAACTTAAACTGTATAAACTGTTATTGTATTACTACAATCTATTTAGTTTTATAAGAGCTAGAATCTATTGTCAATTGACTGACTAGTAATTTGTTTTTTGTAAGCAATTAAACTCCTTATTTATCCGTACCAAATATACGGTATACGGATAACTTCACAAAGCTTTCGGGACATTATAACGTGACACTTATAATTACATTTTATAATGTCTCTACTTCAAATTGATGTTTTATCGACCGAAATTAGTAACTATCACAAATTATTCAAATCGGTTTCTTTATTCAGCAAACTAATAGTTCTTTCAACATTGTACTTGTGAGCAGGATATTTTTGTTTATAATGAAATACATCATTTATTAATAACGAAACGCATTAAATATTAATGTGGTCTTTTTTCTAAATTGATTAACTATTGATGGACATATATGAAGAGATAGGAAAACTAAACAAAACAATCTGTTATCATTTATTCAGAAGCATCATGATTATATTTATCATTGTTAGTCAAATTATCACCCCCACCCCGCCCCCAAACTCACATCATCATCATCACAAACATCATCTCATCACTCACATTTATCACAATCTCATCATATCAATCATTAACATTATCCCAGCTTTTTATCCACATACATCCATAATTTTAATTTCAATCATTTTAATATCCTCACATTTTCAATCTATTTCCATCATAATCATCATCATGATCCTTTAGTCATCATTTTTTTATATCATCATCAATTCCCCCCAAAATATACTATTTTCAATCAAAAATTTAAAACAAAAGCATTTCTTTAAAAATTTTTTGATGTAAATGGCGAAGATTGCGATGATTATGATGATGATAATGATGACGACGACGGCAGTTTTGATGGCGGGACGACGATGATTAATATAATGATAAAATCATCGACTTCTGTTTAGATGATAGTCATTGAACAACCTCAATGACTTCTTTAGTGATGTTATAAATGTATTTTATGTAAAGCTAATAACAAAATTCTTAATTTGTTTACCTTCTGTACTCTTTATAAGTTTAGGAAATAAGAGGATTAATTCAAAAGTGCTTAAAACTTACACTGAAGTTAAATTTATAGCTTATTAGTTTTGCTTTAATCTAAACTAATTTGGCGCATAATACGTGACTGAAAGTGGCAAAATTGACGCAATTAAATTGATCCAATTACGATAATCCTAAAAGATCCTGACATAACCTGAGGAATCAAATTGACAGGTTGGCACCGTTTGCACCTTGTCACATAGTTAGCCGCATTATATGAGACGCATGTATTCGTTATAGGTCAGCGAATTCAATTTATATTATAGTTGTTTTCATTACAAATTAACAACACAAATTAACAACTCGTGGCTTCAAATCGATAATAATTGGATTTTACTTTCTCATTGATACTTAGTCAAATATGTGCAAATTGATTAAAATAACATACCCTTGGAAGGAAAACAAATATCTTTGTAAACCACTCCAACATGTATTTGCACTATCAATTTAGTCTTCAAAAAATTACAGAAAGCAGGAGACAAACTTAAGGTTTGCAAATGGTGTTTAAGATACTTTCCTGAAATAATTTTGAAATTGTAAACTTTTCTTGACCTAAGACAGCTAGGCAGGTTTCCGTCAGCTAAAGCAATAATGAAGGACATTCCTAACTGTCTAACATCAATAAACCCATGAGTTTACTGTGTTGGTTTTTTTTACTTCAGAAACATTTTTTTCATTAAAAGGCCCATTATGCCTCAGAAATGCTACCATTTTAATTTTTCAAAAAATGATTATTTTTTGGTATCTTGTTAAAGTTTCCAGAAACATACTCATTTTCTTTATACATGGACTATCATTTTAATCTTTAGTTTTGTTGGCAATTGTTATATATAAATACTGTATATATTTATGGAAGTCAAACTACTAATAAGTTTAAATTTTGCTATCTTTACGTAAGTGCTACTTTTGCAGTTGTTAAATTATCTTACCTGAACTTAATGCATTTTTAGCATTATTGAACACTGATTGACACTTCTTAAGAATGAGAAACAAATATTAATTAAAAAAAATAAACGTGCATTACTTAGGCATAATGTGCCTTTAACTCGTGACATTTTTGTGATTATTTTGTGGCGTTATGTTGCTTGTTTATCTTGTTGCCACAAATAAATGTTTATATTGATCATGAGTCTCTCAAAAGCTCACGTAGTCTCGTTTTATCATTTTTGATGTTGTTGTTTATCATCATCTTTCAACCGATAGATTATAATAAAAATAGTACTACTTTTACAAACCAATTCATTGATTTAACCATAATGATTCGTCAGTTTAGTTTAAACATATTTTATTCATCAATTTTTACAAGCATGTAACATTTTTACATCACAATATATATGGATTGGAAAACAAGCATAACACTTAATATACTAATTCCTTTCCATGTTTTATATTGAAAATGTATTTGAAACACTTTAAGGATGCATGTTCGACCTTCACGAATAACATATACAAAGAGAAAATACTTTATATTTATGTTTGCATAATTGATATCTAATTAGTACAAGAGCGATCAGAAATCACATGTGACGCCTGGTGATTATCTTTTAAGCAAATATATTAAGGGTTGATTGACCAGTTTATTCCCTATAAATGCTGCTTAATATCTAATGCTTTTAGAATCATCTTTCAATATCTATATTAAAGTTAATATACATTTCTTGATTTATTGATTATTGATACGTGGCAAGACGTCATATGTGACGTCATTAATCAACAAATACACATTCAGATCAAATATTTTGTAAATACTTATATAAACGACTATTAGTATTTTGAAATAGAAAAGAAAAAAATGTGTCATTTTCTTCTTTGATTGTCTTAAATTGCTTTGAGGCAAGCTTCTACATAACGTATACTCTTACTAACCGAGATAAATAAAACAAACTAGTTTCTTACATATAATGAAGAATCGAAGATTCGAATCATCCATTTCCATATGATATTTCGGTACTACAATATCTGAAATGAATAAAAATTAAAGTATTATTTTTATATCTATGTTTTTTTAAAGGGCGCATTACATTGAAGAAATCAATATATTTTCAACCATTCAGAAATGTCAAACATGTGTTTTATTAATTTGTTAATGATAAATTAGAGTATATTTAAGAAATAATATATCCCAAACAGTGATTTTATAGCTCAATAACATCACTGTTTGGAGTTCGGATGCGAGGAATTATATCACGAGGGCGTAGCCCGAGTGATATAATGATGCGCATCCGAACGACAAACAGTGATGTTATCAAGCAATAAAATCACTGATTTTGATATATTATTTCGATTCTAACACGACATCAACAAATAAATGTTGCCGTACTTGATAGTTAAGCGAAATTGCGCCTGACTTGTTTCCGTACTTATTTTCAGCGCGTCGGATTTTTAGTGGTTACGTCACGTGTATAATGATGACGTCACATGTCTAAATATAGAACGTCAAACTGTGCATCTGTTGCATAATAACACACACTTTCTGTTCTTCTATGTTCAATAGGGAAAATTGCGGGTCGTGTTAGAATAGATGTTAACAACTGAAGAAAATTGCGCTGAAATGGCAATTATTTGTCATGCAAATGCAGCAAAATGTAAACAAAGAAGAGCCGCGCCATTACAAACCAACATAATGGGTTTGCGACCAGCATGGATCCAGACCAGCCTGCGCATCCGCGCAGTCTGATCAGGATCCATGCTGTTCGCTTACCAACCGTGAAACTGATAGCGAACAGTATGGATATGGTATAAATACAAGACTGAGTTGCAAATAATTCACTTAATTTAATCATTGCTTTATTTAATTAAGTTTAAGTACCATTTTGAAAACAACCACTTGAGAATGCAAACATCTTGGTCAGGCGATATTCGTGCAACAATTCAATTGTTTATAATGGCTGGCGTCAAAGTCAGGTATTACTAAGATATAAGATAAATTTTCTTTAAAATATTTGACCGTCACATACCTCGGTTTAAAGCGAAAACAAAAAGAAGTTTGACTGTCTTTGGTTTATTCTTTGGTTGAAGCAAAACGATTTACACTATACTTTAAAACAAACTTTATAAGTAAAATATATAAATTATTCGTTATTTGTACGAATACATCCTTATTTGAATAAACGTGTCAAAGTTAAATCTAGATAGTAGGACGATAGGGTAAATTAGAATGAAGCTACTCTTTGTAATTGTACATTGATTTCAATTTTTGAATAGCACGCTTGTCATATATTTCACATTTATATTTCTAAAGCAAAATTTGTTTATTGTTGATAACAATCAAACCTATTGATGTTTTTAAACAAAATACACATATATATGTATGATAGTTCATTCTCCGTGAACGTTTACATATTAAATTTGTGTGTCTATATAGTTAAAAAAAATAGAATTGCCGAATTCAGAAAGGAAGTCAGTGTTAACACATTTAGCTTTATCTTGTAAGAATGCAATTAAATTAAGATTTGATTTATTGAATGCCGGGTTATATATAAGACTGTCCTTGTTTAACTGTTAAAGTTACATTAGGATTGTATACATTATTTGTGTTGTAATACACTCTCACTACTCTATTTATTGATATGCATTACCATTTTTCATATTCATGCCTGTATATATTTGTTGTATATGAAGATGAAGATGAGCTGTAAATGCTTAAAGGTCAAATTTAACGCTTTGTTTTATTTGAAAATATTAAAGTACAGTATGTAATATAAAAATAAAATCAAATATATGTTATGTTACGTTTAATATAGAACTTTTAAATAAACATATTTAATTTTTGAATGTTACAATCATATGGAGAAAAACCATTGTTACAAGGTTTTATAGAAAGCTTATATGTATATTTTATGAAAAGATCTGTAACATTTATA